TTTCGCTGGTGACCTAGGTGGATTGAATATGTACTGGGGAATTGAATGAAGGAGTCAAGGAACACTTCGCAAGTTGGCTCAGCTGCATGACATATGGAGTCGATTCCAGCATCAGTCGGAGCCACCTGGTTAACGCCGAACATCAAAGTGATATGTTCATTGAGTTTTAGATTCCGTACAACACCCCACTGCAACGTTACCTAGACTGAGAGCGCGATCATTCAGTGCTGAAACGGCGGTGTGAATAAAATTGGGAGGCGCAGACGTGTGTAGTCCGAAGAAAATGTGCAAATCTCTGCCCCCCCCACCCACCTGTCACGGCCAGGCGCCAAGCGGAAGGGACGAGGCCACACACCCCATTCCGCATGACCGCCTCACATGCTCAACAAAACTGTCTCCAACTCATGAGAGCAATGTAGACAGTTAATATCCGGTTGATGCCTTTGTTCTCTTGTCATGCGGTGGTAGAACGTTGCTATAATTCTTACCATTTATTGTCTGAATAAATTGTGATGCATTATCAATAAGCTACACCGCGACTCTCTTTGAAGTTAGCTTTGATCAGTTCTGCCGTGTAGACTGCGTCTAAAGCAGATGCGTGATGGGTGTTACCAGCTAGCAACACTACATTCCAGGGCCGGTTCTTGATTGTTTGTAGGCGTCGGGTAGAGATAACACGTCTGCAACTCGGAACATCCCAAGGACTTTCGTAGAAATTAAAAGCCACGATTAAACTCTGCACAATAATATTGTGCAAAGTTTAATCGTGGATGCCCACGGTTTTGGTGTGCTGGTTCTTGTCTGAACTGCGTAAAATATTCGCATCCTTTCGAATTTAAATTGCGCTGGCATTTTGATGCCTGTTCGAACCTTCTCCTCCACACAGCCGGATGCAGCAGCGCTCTTTCGGTTGGCACAAGACAGCCTCCTACACTAGTAGTTCAGTAAATCCCGACGTGGACAAAATTTGTGGCTTTTATTTCTCGTGTTTTCTGCTGTGCAACAAAAGCTTCGTTCCTCACTCTAGAAAATAATTGGGTATAGTCTAATGAATAGCCAGCCACATTCAGCCATGTACTTTTAAACTTATCCTCTTTCCTTATCCTGTTGTGATAGATCAAAAGCTAATTTATTCACGCCTGATATCGTGTCGAAATTTGCTGTGACACAGATGGTCCTCGCCCTATTTAATGGGCTCGTGTATCATCTTTTGCGCATAGCGAACCTCAAGCACCTAAGTTTCCCATGGAATAAAGGTAATGAGGCTTGTGTTTGTCTAAACTGACTACTGGCGGAGGAGGATCGGTAGATCAAGTGCGGTACCGCTGAAGGACTTGTAATACAAACTGGCCGGGACAAATACTGTTCCAAGACACATCGTTACCTGTCTACTGCTACATCTAACCATCGAACAGTAACATTCGTAAACGTGAATTTCTGAGTGGAGCTTTGATAAATAAAACGAGCCAACCGTGGAGATAATCACCGCTTTGAGCAGCGTAATGTGGCAGGATATTTCGACAGCAGAAACAACCAGATATGAGGCCGGTGCTTGAGACTGGAACCAAGTTGTGAGTCCATCCATTGGTAGTGTTTTGTTGGTCTGTGTGTTGGCGTACTTCTGTTGTCTTCTTGGGCCGTAAACTTAAGGATCCCAAGCCTGCCTTGTAATCCAAGGGTGCGGGTTCGAGCGTGCCTAGGGACCGAGCGACCATCGCAGTATCCTTAGTCTACGTGCTACTGGTAGTGGTTGCACGGCAGCGAAGCCTCGGTACTGCGCACTGGCCTACAATTGCTGCTTTCTTCGATGGTATGGGTTCAGAGTGATACGTCCAGCTGCGCACAGTCGGAGAAAGCATAAACGTCAACTTGTGCAAGTGGTGTTGGTGGTCAGTGGTTGTGACTGCCCGCCAAACTATACCACGCATTCTACAAACACCATGTTCAAATACGTTCCTGTATGCTGCATACAGCGTAAAACAGGAGCAATAGGATAGAAAGGAAACGATTATGGGGCACATCCTCTCAGCGCGGAAAAGTCCAAAAACATGGATTACACCGATTGACTTCTGGTTCGAGGTATCGCGTAGGGCCATAATTAAATCTTGTGTATAACCGACCGGTTTAGCCTCAGGTCTTGCTGATCGATATTATCATACGAGACCGGAAAAGCTGACTACTAACCGTTACGAGGCAACGAACTAGTGACAAACCATCCCAAAAGATCACTGATATCGTTTTCTGTTAGAACAAAGGAAGACACCGCAGAGATGTTCAATGCGACATGTAGAATATGTCTGGCGATCACTGGTGGGGAGCGCGCAAATGCATTACTTCACTGAAGCTTGCGGTTGCACTGGGGTCCGTATTTTATTAGGAGCTGATCGTCTTACATTGGCACGGTGTCGTAACCCCCAACCCTCAGTGAACCAACCAACCAAGCAACCAAACAAGTACTGGCTCATTGACCATCTTTGAGATGCACCCGGTATCTGGAACATAGGATGAACCGTAGACCTAACATCATTCAAACGTGCTTTATCTTGGTGCGTAGAATAAATTCTCCAAAAGCTGACGAATACAACAGAGACGATTTCTCATGTCTAATTGAGCTTGTATAACACTGTTGTAACCCTGCGAACTGATGGCGGACAACCAATCGTAGTCGGTTAGTCTAAACTGATAGCAGCCTTCGCGAGTAGATTCCGACAGCCAGAAGTTTTATGTGAGCACAGACTTCATGTGCTGAGAACAGCCTTCACACGAACCTCTACTCCCGAAAGACTCAAATTTCCACTTTAATCAGTGAAGCTTCAAGCATTCGGTCCCGGGTAAAACTCGGGGCTGCATTGTCTAGGTCTGGAGATACCAGGAGGGCTAGTTGACGTAGACTCGAACCGAGCTCTGCGGAACGCTCGAGACAGTTTCCTGAACTGGATCGACCCAGTTTAACTGCAAAATAAATCAAAATGTACACTAACACTGCCTGTCGTAATCTATCCATAGAAGCGGTAGCCATGGCAACCTAACGACAAGTTTAAGACTGCGAAAAAAGGCGCCCGTGAAACTCAGGGTGTGGTAAGAGGTTTGAAAGTAGAACATCCAAAGTAAGGCTAAAGGGCGAATGACCAGATGGCAGAGCAACTGCCTGTCGCTACCTGAGGTGCCAATACAAAAGTTAAGGCAGTCGTGCAGCGCAGCGTTGTGAACGAGTAACAATTATCACTCACCTGAATCCGATGGTTTCCCAGTAGCCTGACTGATCGAAGTGCATTGAAGGGATTAGATTGAAGCACTTATTGTGTGAGTTGGTTGCGTCTGGCAATCCCCATATTGACAACGACTCACACTTAGATAAACCGTGACTGAATCAGATAGATGTTAGGTGATACCCGCTTGTAGCAATAAACTCCAAGACTAGTTTCGCACTCGTTTGAGCACATCAGGTAGGGATAAGATGCATGAGACTCGCGCTTGGGAAGTCCGGATGGCAACCAAATTCCCTGATCCTAACCGACCGAGTCACGGTGGGAAATACTTGCCACAACAGTCAGTGACTCACTACGAGTGAGAAACACATGACATTCATTTGACCAACTTTCATTTTCATGTGAATTGTGTTTTAAACGCAGATCGCGCCGCAATCCATTCCTACAAAGTGTTTCAGAATGATCCCACCAATGAGTCAATAGCGATTGTCAGAGGCACCGTTCGCAGTTCAGTCGCACAGACCTAAAGATTTCAACGGATAGTCCCTATGACACGGATCCGAACTTTAGATATCAGTACCTAATGAATATAAACGAGTACTAAACGGATATGTGAGTGTGGCGTTGACGGCGAGCTACCTTTTACACGAATTAGTTTCAGCTGCTGCCCCAGCGATGGAACTGATTGATCTACATTTTAAAGTCGATCGTGGCCCAAAACGAGGTTGTACGTGGCTATGGACATGTATTACATGGGGTTAAAAGCAACGGCAGGTAGAACTGCAACCAAGAAGACGAAGTACCGAACCATCGTTATGAAAGGAACTACGCCCACGCGTTTAAGTAGAGAATCCTACAGATGTGCTAAATCTGCCGCATGTGGCGAGCACCGAACACTGATCGAAAATCACTTTAGACAGCGAACACATTATGATGCGACGGTTGGATGAGATCGGTATTCCTCAGTTGGCCAACTTCTGTTGTAAAGTACGGTCGCACTTGGGGTAACAAGCGCCACAGTTGACAAAGTACTGCCAAATACCGGCAAATACATCGTTCGCAAGACGGGCGTGATAGTTCAGTAAACGGGTTTCGAATATGAACTGCGTCAATGTTGCGTGAAAAGTGCAAATAAGAATGCAACCAACGCCGAAGTACAAAGATTCGATCGAGAGTTTTAAAGCTAAGGCTCCTACTTCAGTAGAGGTTCCGGCGGCCGACGTCAATGAGATAAAATTCGAGATCAGTCAGTTATAAATGGGATTACTAGCTGCAATCCAAACACGCAACCAGCAGGTCAATCTGAACTCTTACCAAGTGGAAAATGTTTTCAGCTAGATCTTGCGAAATCATTCAGTAATACTTGTGCGACGGACAGCTACACGTAAGATATATATTAAATCTTCTGAACCGCGACTCTCAAGACCGATACCGGTGAAGTCATCGCAAGCGATTAATAAAAGAAAAGAAAACCTTCCCTGTTGATTTGAGTAAGCGGACTGAAAAAGCGACTATAACGAAATATATGACATATAGTTGCTTTACAGGAGTTTGGGTAAGAACTCTATTCATGAGAAACCCAGTTCACCATCAAATAAAGCCGGTGAAAAGGGGACTCCACATAAAATTCAAACAAAAGGAAACGAACCCACTGTACAAAGCGATACCGCTGAGAAAATGCTGATGACGATATTCAGTTCTGGTACCACAGAATTGTCAGGTTGGATGCTAACCAATGCGGTTGGAGAACAGTTGCCAACTGGGATGGTTCCTTTCACAAGCACGTTGTTGTCAAACAACTCCAAACACTGTCAACTGCTGGGCCTCACCGAGACCCGTAGCATCAGAATCGCTTTTGGGACGAGTGCACATTACACGACTTCCGCCCGACGGAGCGATGCGTTTGACCTTGGGGTGGGTTGAGGGGACGGTGGTGGACGGGCAACTTTGTACAGGTGTGGGCCCATCTGACTCTAGTTGGCTGGTAGAACGCAACAAACTCTCTGTACTCCGATCCTCCTTATCAGCGGGGTGACAAGGATCATTCTGGTGGGTGGAACACGGTGTATACCGCATAGGCTTTTTTCGGCAGTGGGCACCGTTATTAACCGCCACATGGTCCTCAAGATCTTTTAGTGATGTTCGACGTGACCAAGCTCGATAACACATTATCACAGTGAGTGCAGTCAAGATAAAGGTTAGGCACAACCCAACTGTAGTCAAAAGATAGAGGCGCGAACCTTGTTCTGACAAATGTAGAAAAGAGCCCCGTGAAGGATAGTAAGTGTCTATCACATCGGACAAATTCAATATGAGTAATTCCTTTTCCCCCATTTTGCGGATCGGTAACCGAGGACAATAAGATGATATAGAGTAAATGATTTCTGCAGCGGATGGCCACTGAAAATTTTGCGGGTCTTTGGGAACTGTCCCGTTGAGCTTGGTTTGCTGTTTTTGTTCCAGTTGCAGACACTTATTTCGACTATCTGATATTCCTGTCAAGGTGCCCTCCACACCTGAACTAACTCCCAGGTTAGTATTCGAGATATTCTGCATTTGGTTACCAGTTAGCAAAAAACCATGAAGGAGACTGGATTGACCAATCAAAGAGAGTGGTCCATTCGGCCAGGCGGCGCGGGCTCGCCAATAACCCACGGAGTCCTTCCATCCTTCGGAATGGCTTGTGACACTGGGGCCTAGAATAAGCTCTGTCGGCCTCATGGGTGTCGGGTGAATTGGATTACAAAATGTATCCTCGTCTACGTGTTGCCATGGGTTAGCAGTTAAGTTCAATATCAATCGTCCGTCATCGTTTGACCGGGCATCGAAAAGACCGAGACTTCTAGCAGTTAAATGATTTAGGTGTGTCAATCGATTCCATGACAAATCAACCCATCGTAGCGGAAGCCCGGCAAGGAAGTCCTGTTTCTCAGCTGGATTGAGCGAGGATGGGACACACATCAGTGTGTTGGAGGAGAGATCCAATCGTTTCAGCTTCGTTGTGTGGGAAAATACGTCCGGTGGAAGTTGAGTGATGCGATTACCACGCAGTGAAAGCTCCTGAAGATTACTCAAACCCTGAAATGTTTCGTTTGTCAAGTGGACCAACTTGAGTTCCTCCATTCGCAAGATAAGAAGATTGGACAAGTTAGAGAAGACACCCTGGGCGGGACTTTCAAAACCGCCGAAAGGAACGCGATTATCGTGGCTCATATACAGCTCCGAGAGGGACGAAGCGCAGGGGATCAATGCAGCGGAATCGATTTGTTGGAGTGGGTTTCCCCTCAAATCTAATACTTCCAGTCTCGATAAACCCCGAAGTGTATCCACATCAATGACCGTTAAAATGTTGGCCGCCAAATTCAGTCGACGGATCATGGAACAACAGTTACTAGAAAAAGTCCCGGACTGAATATATCCAATTTTATTGTCCGACAAATCTAACACACTGAGCGCAGTCAAACCAGCGAAAACATTACGAGCCAGTGACCTGACGGGGTTGGATCGTAGTATCAAAGCTGTCAAACGACCGCAGGCCGATGCAAATGTGTTTTCACCGTAGGTGGTCAAACGAGCATTGTTGGAAATGTTCAAATGTTCTAAATAAGCAAAATGGTTACATACATTGGGTTCAAGTTCGGTTAATCCCGAATGAGTCAACGCAAGATTGTTCACACCATTCCACATACAGGTGGATTCCAAATAAGGAGATAGATCTGAGAGCATTTTCACCCTGGTGAGATTCACGAGCTGGAGGTGGGTGAACGAGATATTGGCATCACAAACATGTGGCATGAGCGAAGACAGGTGTTCCAAACTGGTCGCGATGATCCCACTGCATCTGCATTTGTGTTCCACTGAGACGACATTGCAAAAGCACATCTCGGTGTCGGAGGTCACAGCAAACCGACGCAGTGAATAAAGAATGTAAAGGAATGAATAAACTAAACCGGCCCCCATAGCGCGTTCTTGCTTATGCCTCAAATTGGACATGCGCCGCCGAATCTTGGGCTGACCTGGAGGCCAGGGAACGATACCGCAACCCACCGGCTGTCTGTAATAATGCACTTGGCAGTTGGACCAATCAGCTATCGATAATGAAGAGTAGACGCATGATTGGTTGGTTTCCATTTTCCGTCAACAGCGTGGCATGCATTAAGTGTGGTCGGCACAGCTGATCAGGAGGTTCGTTTTCACGTGCCGAAGCTCACTTATCCGTGTACCGTAGACAGAAGCAGACAAGAACAGGATCTCGAACTTGTGTAGGTGTAGGTTAATAAGCACAAACGCGTAGATGACTGCAAAAGGTGCATTACGATGTCATTGAGGTGAAATACCAGGTGATATCACGGAATTTGTGAAAGCCACCTAGGACAGACTGACTAAAGGGAGCCCCACTGACCCCAAAGCGTATGTCAGGATGATATGAATGAGTGCAATCAACTTTTACTGTGTAGTCTGCATCTGAGAATTCGTGCAACTTAAAAGTATACAGAAGTGCACGTGGCTATAAGTGTCCCTGAGGTCCCAAATATGATTGGTAGCTCTGTTACCAGAACTTCCCAACAGATTTTGAACGCGATTTCAGGGTCTAATACGTGTCCCAAGCGCATCTCTATAAAAGATGTAATGGACTACAGAGTATGTAAAACAAAGAAGAAACTCATCAGAATTTTGTCAGTTATTCGTAGTTGGTGATGCGTAAGGCAAGTCAGTTAGCCAGAACAGTAGTCAGTACCATTCGCTTCAGACTTTAACTTTGGGACCAACACAGGGACTATGAATGACTTAAATTACATCAACCAATCACAGGTAGCAAGTACGTAGGCCGAACTGAGAGAAGGCTGTCCGCGAGGATTGCAGAGCATGTTCCGCGAAACATGATTGCTAAGGGTCCGAAGCTACCAACTAGCTCTATTGCCCGCCACATACTAGACTGCGCTGAATGCCAGAACCCACGTGGCAATTTCAGGGTAGTTAGCAAACATGCTAATCCCCGTTTACTACAGTTTGCGGAGGCAGCAGCAATTCGGCGGCTGAAGCCAAAGCCATGCAAGCAAACGGATTTCGTGACCACGCTAGCCCTACCTTGGTGAGGCTAGCGATTGCGCTTTCCTCGGAACAGGTCACGTGAGCCTAAAGACCTTCGACCGCTTTGAATTTTTTGCTGTTAACGTCGCACTGTTTTCCACTCATTGTATGTAAACAGCTGAGGAGAATACGCGAAATTACTGAATTCAGTAAATTCTGTTATAAGGTTATTTCTTCTTGCTTTATTGAAATCACAGGTAAAGCAGCAGATGCAACAACCGTAGACATATGTGGGAGCTACGATTGATTCGACGCCGATCCACTCTCAATGGGGAACTATTTAGCACAATAGCAGGCGAAGCCGCTTCAGAAGTCCCACTCGCGGCAACACAGTGTGATAACTCATTGTAGACAGTTATCGCGAGCGGTAAATTGCAATTTTTGCCCATCCTGTCGCTTTAAGGTTTTACTTTCGAAAGGATATCTTGGAAACAGTGTTTACAAGAGCATGGTGCAAAACTGACTTTCGTCCAATTTCTTTTGATCCAGATAATTTTGCATTATCATTTCCCCGTAATACCTTATACCCGTCCTCGGGTACTCACCAAACCTCGTCTATCCTTTCTCGCGGTCAGTCTTTGGCTATCTTCCTGATACTGTTATGTTTTGTAGTCAGTTTTGTACCCAGTTTTAGCCCGTTATTACTTTACTGATTACTCCGCAGGCAACAGCTCCGGTTTCAACTCTGCTTCTTGTTTTACACTGTTCTTGAAATCTTCATGACGGAGTCACAGAATACCGGCGCTATTTTGTCTTCGGCTGCGTTGGACAACGATTCTAATGCTATTTGTAGCGGTATGAGCTACTCAAATTCTGTGACGACTGAATCTGGGAGCGCGCAGTAATACGTAGGCAACTGATGATACAACAAAATTTATACCGGCTTGTGCTCTGAAGAATAGGCAATTCTGTCGACTAACAATAGCTTCTTGTTCACTTGCGCTGAGCTGTAGCCGTCGGCCTGGGCATCTTGATGTTACGGATAATGCAACAAGCAAGGTGCAGCTAGGTAACCAGGAAATGTGATCTTTTCTCACTTCACTTAAACGTAAAGTAGAGTTAATGGTGAAGAAACTTGGAGTCCTTATTGATGTCGGCCTGCTAGACGATGCCAATCAGCTAGGTTCATTTAATGTCAGTGAGTATCCACCTGAGGTGACGACTACCGCGTCATGTGCTCCAGCTATCCAGAATGCGGGAAACGAGGCCTCTGATGGCGCATTGGACGCCAACCAAAGTGAGCAAGAAGTAAGGGCCTCGGCAAGGTAGGCAGAGGGATAAGAAAGTCAGTTGGGCTCTTGCAAATCCTAAAAGAACTGAATCCGTGACGGCGCTAGAGCTGGAGCACAAAGCGCGAAAATATGCGCCACACCACCCCATCTTTGGTCAAACCGGTCGAACTTGGTGTCGAGTAGAATACCCGTGGGGTGAATACGCTTCGTCGAGAGGATCCTTTTGCGGACAGCAACGTTATCTTCCGTAATGTTGTTGAATCTGTGGTACCTCTCCCCAGGGAACGCATGCTAGATGACCTCCAGCAGGTCAAGCTGTGCGTCACTAAGTTATTTCCATCTGCTTTCCCTTGTGTTACTGTCAAGAAGCTGACCAGACTGGGGAAGGTCCCATTTGGCACGTGAAATCTGCGACCCCGACTATTTAGCGTAGTCCTTTCTTCTCCGGAGGATCGCAAAAAGTTATTGCGCTTTGCATACAAACTCAGGGGTAGTGATGTTGGCATTCAGCAAGTTCTCTCCCTGGTAGATACGTTGAAGTTGACGGAGGCCATCAACCATCTCAAATACAAGCACGTAGTCAGGGAGCAATGCCACCGTCTAGTGTGTTTTCAGGTGGTCAACCGAGGTCAATTTCTGCCATACCAGAACCAGTCGTAGTGGTGCACGAGTCAGGGCTGGTCGTACCGAGTTCGTTCAGTTAGTAATAAGCAATATGCGTAGCCTAAGGAACAAGGTCCATGAGGTGGGTCTACCTGTGGACAAATCACAACCCGACATACTCGCTTCACTGGAACGTGGTTGTCCCCGGGTATCATGGACGGTGAATACTGTTTAGCTAGCTAAGCGCAGCTTGGCTGTGAGCGCTTCGCTGTCCGTCAAGGCGGGGACGTCGCTGTTTATGTGAGCCATAAATCAGATGTTCTGAGGACCTGTGTCATTCTGTCGCTGGATCAAACTGTTGAAGCCATGCCTACCTTTGTGTGCACTTCCTCCTCTCAGTTTATAGTTGTTTTTGCTAAATGGAAGTTCTGGGAGTACCTCCAAGTGGGTTATAGGGTTTATTCGTACTCAGCCTGCTAAAAGCTGTTTAGTACCGAGGGACTTCAACTTCCCTGGGATCTGTAGGTCTGATCTGTCTGGTACTTCAGTGATGGAAACCTTCGGCTTGGATCTCATTAAGCTAGCGCTGCAACTTCCTTTGTATCATTTCATGGACTTCTCGACAAGGTACATGAGCAAGTAGATGCCGCTCACCTTGGTTCTTGTTTTGGGAGGTCACTCGATTTCGTGACGTTACATGCGGCTCTCCTTTAGGGGCCAGCGATCAAATCTGGATAGCCTTTCGATGTATTATTTCTCTAGGTATCATCAAGCTACGGTGGAAGTATGCTCAAATATTTAGCTAGCGGACTTTAACGCAATGCGAGCCAAAACATCGTTGCTGCATTGTGTGATCTCTGTGGAGGACATTGTTAATTCAGTCTGGGAGAGGCTTAAGGTAAATCTCACCGGGGTCTATGCTCTTCACATCCTACTCATGAAGAAAAGCGAGGCACGAGCGCAGTCTCCATAGATAGAGTTCACGGGTAGATAATTCCTCAAGCAGCGGTCAAAACGCTGGAGTAGTTACCAAGATTCCGCATCAGCCAGCACCTACGAAGGATGTCTAGAGGTTAGGAAGAAAGTTAAGCAAAATCTCAGGACTGCTTGGCTCCAATACGAGAAAGGTTTGGGTAACGCAGCCGAAACTAATCCCAAGTTCTTGGCTTACCGAAAGAGGCGCAACAATGCAAACTCGACTATGCCACCGTTATTACGAGCAGACGGGACCCGTGTGCATACCAACTTTGATAAGGCTTGTATAGTTAGCGAGTATCACACTGGTGCCTTTGCTCATGGGACCTTTCTACCACAGGTCGAACTGGTCTCAAGCATCCCGAAGAATTCCTGCCTAACTGAAATTAACATGTCAGAGACTCACCTATATTACTTAGTAGCGAAGTTAAGCAAAGCAGGCCCGCAGACCGTAGTCAGGCATGATAAGACAACAGTGCGAAACAGAGTGTACCGTGTCAAAACTCAAGCATACGAATCACATTCTGTTTGGTCTCCACTATATAAAATGTGAACAATTTTCTATTTTACGTGACCTCTTCATATAACTGGATCAGTCTATTATAATGGACTGCCCACGAACCGTCGTGAAATGTACCGTTTAATTAATTAATTATTTATGATATACGATTTGAAGTACAACGCAAGGACTTATTCCTTGGTCAATGCGAAACAAACCAATCGGAACGCGGCGTGGCTGAACTACTGATCAAAATCAGCGACGGATGTAACATCCCCTCTTCTCTTACAGAACCTCATGCTCCGGGAACGAAACTTTCAACAGGTATAGGTACACGTTGAGATCTGCGAAGTGGTGAGCAGTTTATTGTTCGCGCCGTATCCTGAGTAGCTTGT